AGTGTAGTGTATAGTAGTGTAGTATATAGTAGTGTGTAGTAGTGTAGTGTGTAGTAGTGTATAGTGTAGTATATAGTAGTGTGTAGTAGTGTAGTGTATAGTAGTGTATAGTGTAGTATATAGTAGTGTGTAGTAGTGTAGTGTAGTGTGTAGTAGTGTAGTGTATAGTAGTGTGTAGTAGTGTAGTATATAGTAGTGTGTAGTAGTGTAGTGTGTATTAATGTAGTGTATAGTAGTGTGTAGTAGTGTAGTGTATAGTAGTGTCATGGTGTTAAACCGGCCACCATCCGACACAGCAAATTATTAAGATTTGTCACGTAAGCAAAACTTGCCAATTGGTTCCTAGTACAGCACACCGGTGTGTTGGAGTTTAAACCTACAACAATTACAATTCGACTATCTCGCCTGGTATACAGGAGGTCGTGGGTTCAATCCCGAGCCTGACACCTGCTGTATGTTAGGATTTTGTGATGTCTCTCTCACCTTGGTCACGTGGATTTTTCTCCGGATTCTCTCCGGTTTTTCTCTCCACATTTATAATCAACATCAACATAGTTCATAGTTCATTTATTTGGTATAGCCCTGTGAGCCATTCGGCTCTTGAATCGGGTGCAACCGCAACAAACAAAAAACATGAACAAGAAAACATCTTAAAGTGACTATGTGACTGTGCAAACAGAAAGTACAGGAAAAAAATATCAAAATATTCCTGAAATAGCACCGTACACCAACGCTGTGCGCAAAAATCCCAGTGGGATGCAAGTCAAAACAACAACAACAACCACAAGACAACTAAGATTAAGGCCATCAGTCAACTCTGTACTACAATAAACAAAAACATGGCCAAAACAAAAAAAACTTTTCGAAATCACCAAAATAAAAGCCATAAATCCAATGTAACAGTGATCATAGGGACTGTGACCGAATTTTTTACAATAAACTACATAAATTAATTATAACACCAAAATCTAGAGCCATATTTTAGGCCACTGAGTAGCAGTGGCAGCTAGGGTTGTACAACTCCTCTAGAGCAGTTTTGAGTGAAGATCTCATAGGTAGTGATTCAAGTTGCAGTTTATTGGCAATAGGATTCCAGACCCTAGGGGCATCAATAGCAAAGGCCCTTCCTCCAGTTTTTGTACGGCAATAGGGAATGTGAAGCTGGTAAATGAGCGAAGACCTGCAGTCAAATTTGTTCTTTGAAACAGAGAGGAGATCCAGTAGGTAGTCTGCGGAATTTTTTGTAAGTACATCGTGAATAAATAAGATCTGGTGCACAAGCCGTCGAACATTAAGAGATGTTAAGTTTGACCCAATGTAGAGATCACAGTGGTGAGTCTTATATGGGCAGTTCAATGCAAATCTTAAGGCCGAGTGATAGATGGAATCAAGCTTCTTCAGTACAGTACTTGGGGCTGATTTATACACGATGTCACAGTAGTCAAGTAGAGGCAGTATGGTAGCTTTTATCAATTCCAAACGGAACATTGGGGGGAAGCAGTGCTTGTGTTGATACAGAAAACCAATTTTTATTTTTGTCTTTTTACCAATATAATCAATGTGATCTTCAAAACTAAGTTTTGAATCCAGGATGACCCCAAGATACTTATAGACCTTGACTTGCTCTATTTGATAATTATTCAAGGAATGTAATTGGGGAAAAATAACTTCCTGCTTTAATCCCGGAGAGAAGCATAGCACCTTGGTTTTGGAGGTATTCAGGACTAGTTTAAGAGAAACTAGCTGATGTTGTAGTTTGTTGAAATCACCCTGGAGCTTTGCAATCACGTCATCCAGAGAGCGGCCAGCAGTAATCAGTATCGTGTCATCTGCAAAAAGATTTACCCTGGAATGATCCAGTTCAGTGCCCAAGTCATTGACATAAAGAGAGAACAAGAGGGGGCCGAAGATGGAACCCTGTGGAACCTATTTTGTCATCTTAACACTTTGACCTCCAACCATTTGTGAATACAGTTTGGGTGTGAGAAAAGAGGTAATTTTTTAACCATTGTACTGTGTTCTCGGAAAAAACGAGGCAACTTAGTTTACTAAGCAGGGTGTTATGGTCAACTGTATCAAAAGCTTTGGACAGGTCAAGAAAAAGACAGGCACAGTACTGCTTATTATGAAGGCTATTGTAAATTTGATTCAAAGAGTCTAATGCAGCAGATGTGGTGCTGTATTTTTTCCGGAACCCAGATTGTTTTAGATGTAGTAGATTGTTGGTGGACAGGAAACTGCTAATTTGGTAGTTCAATCATTTTTCAAAAATTTTCATCAATGGGGACAAAATTGAGATAGGTCGGTAGTTATTGGGATCATCTTTAGGGCCCCCTTTGTGAAGTGGACGGACATAGGAATGTTTCCATTCTAGAGGAACTGATGCTTCTTTGATGGACAGGTTGAAAATATGGGCTATAGGTTTGTATATTAGGTGACCAACAGTTAGTAGAGCAAAGACGGGAAAACTATCTGCTCCGGTAGAGGAGGACCCTTTGAGGTAGGACAGTTGTTTCAGAACATTACTTTCGTGGATTGGTTGGAAACTAAATTCGTTTAATGTTTGGACAGGGGTGTAGGAATTTGCAGGAGCAGGGGTGACTCCCAATACATTATCAAAAAGATTACCAGCTTCAGAAAAATGAAGGTTAAAATTGTCAACTATTTTTTTGGGATCTGAAAAATATTCCCCATTTCGGTGAAGCTCAACGGGCAGATTTTCTGTTTTGGATGCCTTTTCGATAGATTTGATTGTTTTCCAAAAAATCCTGGCATTTCCATGTGATTCCAGGAGAGTGGAGGAAAAATAGGCATTTTTTGCATGCCGTATTTTTTTTACGCATCTGTTCCTTAAAATCCTGTATTCTAGCCAGTCATTTACCAAATTACTTTTCTGAGCACATGCCCAAGCCTTGTCCCTAGTTTTCATGAGCTTTGTAATCAAAGGATCATACCATGGTGGGCGGTTGCCTTTAGTTTTAAATCTAACCAACGGAGCATGTTTGTTAAGAATTTGGAGAAACGTGTACCTGAAAGTCTCCCAAGCCGTAGTCAGGTTGGGGATATCACAGACCTTATCAATATCTGAGTGAAGCACATCATTTGCAAATGCCTGAGTGCTGAAGTGCCTCAAAGAGTGCTTCTCAACAATTTTAGGGGGGGCTTTGGGTCTGGCTGATGATCTCACACCAAAAATGAAGGAGTGATCACTAAGGTTATTACCCAGAACACCAGTCAGTGCGAAATTGTGAGGGGCATTTGTCAATAGGACGTCAAGCAGAGTTGACTGTCCCGGATGTTTTAGGTTGGGTCTTGTGGGGACATTTATTAATTGAAACAAGTTAAATTCATCTGTAAAATTTGTGGCCATGGCCGGCGGGTTTAGCCAATTCCAATTTAGATCACCCACTAAAATTATTTCACCTTTAGGGAGGCCCCCAAAAAGCTCTCTCAGTGCCGATGCAGCTTCAACATCCTTCCCACAAGGCGGTCTATAGCAGCACACTACCAATATCTGTTGATTATTTGGGAGAGTTATTCTGAGAGCCAGACCTTCAAAGCAACATTTTTTAAACAAGGAGTGAGCTGGTGAACATGCAATAGTGTTACGAACATAAATGGCAATTCCACCTCCTTTAGATCCTCGGTCAAGCCGAAAAAGGTTGTAGTTTTCAATCGTAATCTGCAAGTCATTGACAGCAGGAGTGAGAAATGTTTCTGTTAGGCAAAAAATGTCCGGGTCAAGATTTGCCACTTCTAGTTTTAGTTGACTTAATTTAATCACAAGCCCTCTGATGTTGACATGTAGAACACCAACACCTTTCCTGCCAGAACAATCTACAGAATTATACGAGCTCTTTTCATTTGGGCCAGGATGAAGCTCAATACCACCCAGAAATAAGAAAAGTAGAATTAACAGTTTGCACAAGTATTTTCTGTGAAAGGATGAAGAGCGGCGAACCTTGGACGAATAGCAACAGCTCGCAGATGGTGTTGTTATTTTTAAGAGCAGAATGAAGTTTGGAATGAGTGCTGGTGAAGTAATAGGACAAAGATAGGGTTTAAAAGGATACAATGATGGAGTGTAGAAGTGTCTATGAGCTGTTTCATTTGCAGGTGTAGTGGCAAATCGAACAACAAGTATGGACGCAAAGTCACGAGGGTAGCTGTTTGTAGAGTTGAGTGTGGCACTAGATATGGCCGGGAGGGACAGCAGTAGGATACACAGCAGGAGAATTGCCATCTCTAAAATATCCGGGGTATACACAGAGTAACACACAAGTGGAATAGAAAAAAATATATACTTGTAGGCCGAGCGTGAGAAAAACGTCTTGCCGCACTCGTCACACATGCACGGCTTCTCGCCCATGTGCTAGGTTGAACATGCGTTGGCTGCCGTGTATTTCCGCATGTCGATGAGCCAATGCCTTGAGATATCATTTGTGATGGGCCTGGTCACTTCTCAGTGGGCCTGACCTGGATCTTTGCCTTTGCGTTACGTGCGCGTGTGTGTGTGTGTGCGTGTGTGTGCGTGTGTGTGTGCGTGCGTGTGTGTGTGTAGGTGTGTGTGTGTGTGCACTTGCCCCTACAGTCTGTTACAGGCTATATGGGAGATCTTTGATCTTTGTGTGTGCATACGGGAGCGGTGGGTGTAGTGGTTAGCGCTACGCTGCGCTACGAACCCGGCGACCCGAGTTCGATTCCCGCTCACGGCCATCACCGGCGACGATTATCTGAACCGGTCATGGGCCTCCCCTAGGTCGACTCAGCCTCAAACGAGTACCCGCTGCGGTGTGTGTGTGTAGTAAACATCGCCACTGGGCAGACAGAGGCTGCCGGGCGTGGTGCTGGCCACCCACCCCCCTCGTGTGCCACCGTGCCCCCGGCCCTCATCGCGTGCTGCTCGCGAACGGCACTCGCCCGCCCCCCCGCCCCCAACCCCAACCCCCCTGCCGACAGTCTGTCGGAGGCTACCCGGGGCACCTTTGTCTTTTTTGCAGGGGAGGCTGCGAGCGATCTGGATGGCCACCTGCAGGATCTGCGAGCGCTCTCCGAGGAGCAGACGTAGCTTCCCGGAGGGCCCCCCGGGGGCGCCGTTCCGGACCACCCCACCCCAACCCCCACCCCACCCCCACCCCCACCCCCACCCCACCCCCACCCCCACCCCGCTCCTCTCCGCTCCTCGCCGTGGCCCTCGACGGTGACTCCGCGGGCGGCGAAGACGTCGCCGCCCCCTCCACCGTCAAACCCCGTTGACTTCCGTGAAGTTGGGCCCCGACCCCCCACCCCCGCACCCCCCGCGCACCCCCCCCCCCCGGCGGTGCTGCCGCAGAGAACAAAGGAGGGGTTTGGGGGGTGGGGGGGATGCCCCTCCCCCCCACCCCCCCCCACCCCTCGGCGGTGTTTCCCTCCGAACGCGCGCCGGTTTCTACGTTGCGACTTCTCGCTGATCGTCGCGCGTGCTACCACACCTCTCCATCCCCCTCACCCCCTCCTTCCTCCACCCCCCCCCCCCACCTCCCCCCCCACCGTGCCGGTTTCAAGTGAAATATTTAAATGCCCACCGCGCCTTTTCGCCTCTCCCCCACCCCCACCCACCCCCACCTCCACCCCCCCCCCCCCCAAGCGAGAAAAAAAAAAACCGATATTAAAATTGTTTGTTGAACTTTTCCGGAGAGAGAGGTGTCCCTCCCTCGTCTCGCCTTCATCGTTTCACCCCCAGCGGCCAAAATTGGTTTGATCCATGATGGCTAGGAGATGTTAACTACCTCACCTGGCTTGCAGGAGGTCACGGGTTCAATCCCGACCCTGACGATGCCTGCTGCTGTATATTTGGAGTTTGTGTGTCTCTCTCTCTCATCATTATCACGGTGGCTGGGAGATGTTAACTACCTCGCCTGGATTACAGGAAGTCGTGGGTTCGATCACGACCCTGACAATGCCTGCTGCTGCTGTATATTTGGAGTTTCCGACTCTCATAATCATCACGGTAGTGAGATGTTAACTACCTCGCCTTGTGTACAGGAGGTCACGGGTTCGATCCTGACCCTGACAATGCCTGCTGTATATTTGGAGTTTGCGTGTCTCTCTCTCTCATCATCATCACGGTGGCTAGGAGATGTTAACCACCTCGCCTGGTGTACAGGAGGTCGTGGGTTTGATCACGACCCTGACAATGCCTGCTGCTGTATATCTGGAGTTTGTGTGTCTCTCTCATCATCATCACGGTGGCTAGGAGATGTTAACCACCTCGCCTCGTACACAGGAGGTCGTGGGTTTGATCCCAACCCTGACGATGCCTGCTGCTGCTGCTGTATATTTGGAGTTTGTGCATCTCTCTCTCTCCCCGTGCTCGCGTTCATTTTTCTCCGGGTTCCTTTGGGTTTTCCACTCCACATCTTAGAATCAACGTCACGCGCTTAGAAGCGTTTGGCCGCTGCTACAAATGTCCACGTGATGATGGGCCACTCCGTTTGAGCTATCATTTGCGATGGCCTGGTCGCGTCTGACACGGAGCCGCGACCCGCTTGTTGCCTTACCACCAAGTGCTCTAAACGCGTGGTGATGTTGATTCTTGGACATGGGAGGGGAAAAACCGGAGGACCCGGAGAGAAATCCACACAAACACAGAGAGAGAGAGATGAATGCCAAGTCCAAATATACAGCAGCAGTAGGCATCGTCAGGGTCGGGATCGAACCCACCACCTCCTGTATACCTCGCGAGGTAGTTAACATCTCATTGGCACTGTGATGATATTGAGAGAAAGACACTCAAACTCCAAATATACAGCAGCAGGCATCGTCAGGGTCGGGATCGAACCCACGACCTCCTGTATACCAGGCGAGGTAGTTAACATCTCATAGCCACCGTGATGCCCTGTCATCATGCCGACCCAGGTCACCCTTGCAAATGAGACTCCTGGCCTCTAGGACAGCGGTTCCCAGCCTAGGGTCTGTGGATCCCTGCAGGTCTGTCAGGGTACTACAGGGGGTGTCCGTGGACCCCTGTTGGTCTGTGAGGGTACTACAGGGGGTGTCTGTGGACCCCTGTTGGTCTGTGAGGGTACTACAGGGGGTGTCTGTGGACCCCTGCAGGTCTGTGAGGATACTACAGGGGGTGTCTGTGGACCCCTGCAGGGTCTGTGAGAGTACTACAGGGGGTGTCTGTGGACCCCTGTTGGTCTGTAAGGGTACTACAGGGGGTGTGTGGACCCCTGCTGGTCTGTGAAGGTACTACAGGGGGTGTCTGGACCCCTGTTGGTCTGTGAGGGTGCTACAGGAGGTGTCTGTGGACCCCTGTTGGTCTGTGAGGGTACTACAGGGGGTCCCTGTGGACCCCTGTTGGTCTGTGAGGGTACTACAGGGGGTGTCTGTGGACCCCTGTTGGTCTGTGAGGGTACTACAGGGGGTGTCTGTGGACCCCTGTTTGTCTCTGAGGGTACTACAGGGGTCCCTGTGGACCCCTGTTGGTTTGTGAGGGTAATACTGGGGGTGTCTTTGGACCCCTGTTGGTCTGTGAGGGTACTACAAGGGGTGTCTGGACCCTGTTGGTCTGTGAGGGTACTACAGGGGGTGTCTGGACCCCTGTTGGTCTGTGAGGGTACTACAGGGGGTGTCTGTGGACCCCTACAGATCTGTGAGTGTACTACAGGTGGTGTATGTAGACCCCTGTTGGTCTGTGAGGGTTCTACAGGGGGTGTCCGTGGACCCCTGTTGGTCTGTGAAGGTACTACAGGGGGTGTCTGTGGACCCCTGTTGGTCTGTGAGGGTACTACAGGGGGTATCTGTGGACCCCTGTTGGTCTGTGAGGGTACTAGAGGGTGTCCCTGTGGACCCCTTTTGGTCTGTGAGGGTACTACAGAGGGGTCTGTAGACCCCTGTTGGTCTGGTAGGGTACTACAGGTGAGTCTGTGGACCCCTGTTGGTCTGTGAGGGTACTACAGGAGGCCCTGTGGACCCCTGTTGGTCTGTGAGGGTACTACAGGGGGTATCTGTGGACCCCTGTTGGTCTGTGATGGTACTACAGGGGGTGTCTGTGGACCCCTGTTGGTCTGTGAGGGTACTACAGGGGGTATCTGTGGACCCCTGTTGGTCTGTGAGGGTACTAGAGGGTGTCCCTGTGGACCCCTGTTGGTCTGTGAGGGTATTACAGAGGGGTCTGTAGACCCCTGTTGGTCTGTGAGGGTACTACAGGGGAGTCTGTGGACCCCTGTTGGTCTGTGAGGGTACTACAGGAGGCCCTGTGGACCCCTGTTGGTCTGTGAGGGTACTACAGGGGGTATCTGTGGACCCCTGTTGGTCTGTGATGGTACTACAGGGGGTGTCTGTAGACCCCTGTGGGTCTGTGAGGCTACTACAGGGGGTATCTGTGGACCCCTGTTGGTCTGTGAGGCTACTACTGGGAGTGTCTGTGGACCCCTGTTGGTGTGAGGCCACTACAGGGGATGTCTGGACCCCTGTTGGTCTGTGAGGGTACTACAGGGGGTGTCTGTAGACCCCTGTTGGTCTGTGAGGGTACTACAGGGGGAGTCTGTGGACCCCTGTTGGTCTGTGAGGGTACTACAGGGGGTGTCTGGACCCCTGTTGGTCTGTGAGGGTGCTACAGGAGGTGTCTGTGGACCCCTGTTGGTCTGTGAGGGTACTACAGGGGGTCCCTGTGGACCCCTGTTGATCTGTGAGGGTACTACAGGGGGTGTCTGTGGATCCCTGTTGGTCTGTGAGGGTACTACAGGGGGTGTCTGTGGACCCCTGTTGGTCTGTGAGGGTACTACAAGGGGTGTCTGTGGACCCCTGTTGGTCTGTGAGGGTACTACAGGGGGTGTCTGTGGACCCCTGTTGGTCTGTGAGGGTACTACAAGGGGTGTCTGTGGACCCCTGTTGGTCTGTGAGGGTGCTACAGGAGGCCCTGTGGACCCCTGTTTGTCTGTGAGGGTACTACAGGGGGGTCCCTGTGGACCCCTGTTGGTTTGTGAGGGTAATACTGGGGGTGTCTGTGGACCCCTGTTGGTCTGTGAGGGTACTACAGGGGGTGTCTGGACCCTGTTGGTCTGTGAGGGTACTACAGGGGGTCCCTGTGGACCCCTGTTGGTCTGTGAGGGTACTACAGGGGGTGTCTGTGGACCCCTGTTGGTCTGTGAGGGTACTACAGGGGGAGTCTGTAGACCCCTGTTGGTCTGTGAGGGTACTACAGGGGATGTCTGGACCCCTGTTGGTCTGTGAGGGTACTACAGGGGGTGTATGTGGACCCCTTTGGTCTGTGAGGGTACTACAGGGGGTGTCTGTGGACCCCTGTTGGTCTGTGAGGGTACTACTGGGGGTGTCTGGACCCCTGTTGGTCTGTGAGGGTACTACAGGGGGTTTCTGTGGACCCCTGTTGGTCTGTGAGGGTACTACAGGGGGTGTCTGTGGACCCCTGTTGGTCTGTGAGGGTACTACAGGGGGTGTCTGTGGACCCCTGTTGGTCTGTGAGGTTACTACAGGAGGCCCTGTTGACCCCTGTTGGTCTGTGAGGGTACTATAGGGGATGTCTGTAGACCCCTGTTGGTCTGTGAGGGTACTACAGGGGGTGTCTGTAGACCCCTGTGGGTCTGTGAGGGTACTACAGGAGGTCCCTGTTGACCCCTGTTGGTCTGTGAGGGTACTACAGGGGGTTTTCTGTGTACCCCTGTTTGTGCGAGGCTACTACAGGGGATTTCTGGACCCCTGTTGGTCTGTGAGGGTACTACAGGGGTGTCTGTAGACTCCTGTTGGTCTGTTAGGGTACTACAGGGAGTGTCTGTGGACCCCTGTTGGTCTGTGAGGGTACTACTGGGGGTGTCTGGACCCCTGTTGGTCTGTGAGGGTACTACAGGGGGTTTTTGTGGACCCCTGTTGGTCTGTGAGGGTACTACAAGGGGTGTCTGGACCCTGTTGGTCTGTGAGGGTACTACAGGGGGTATCTGTGGACCCCTGTTGGTCTGTGATGGTACTACAGGGGGTGTCTGTAGACCCCTGTGGGTCTGTGAGGGTACTACAGGGGGTATCTGTGGACCCCTGTTGGTCTGTGAGGGTACTACTGGGGGTGTCTGTAAACCCCTGTTGGTCTGTGAGGCTACTACAGGGGGTGTCCGTGGACCCCTGTTGGTCTGTGAG